GGCGGTGTTGGCACATGCGCAGAAGAGCTCTGGCATGGTCTTCTGGGAGTTGTAGTTTTGTAGGCGCTTCCGTTCTCGTTTCCAGCCTAGACGCACTCTGCGGGGAGGAGTGGGGTTGTGGCGGGAAAGAACGTGGGCTGGGTCTCCTCGTTAGGGAGAAGTTAAAGTATTAAATTCCTCCTTCCGAGATAGTCGTTTGCATGCTGTATCCCCCTCCCCCCCATTAGACTGGAAGCTTCATGAGGGGAGGGACTGTTTTTGCCTTTGTATCCCCAGAACTTAACAGTGCCTGTCACATAGCAAGCCCTTAATAATTGCTTGTTGATTGACTGACTGCTGGCTCCCTGTTCATAACCCTAAATCGCACCTGGGCCGCAGAGGAGATTTAAACTTGGGTCTTCTAATTACACAGAACTCTTAATTCTACCCCACCCCTTCCATCTTCTCCCTCCCCACCCCTGTCCCCTATCTTCAATTTTGCTGTGGGAGTCTGCTTCCTATAAATATGCTCAACTCTTCCCCATCTTAAAAAAAATCTTCACTAGACCCTACCATAAGTTATGATTCCTACAAGCAATGACCTATGATCTTTCCTCCCTTTCTGCGCTAAACTCCAAGAAAAGGCTATTTACACCCTTCACTGCATCCCCTGTCTTCTCACTCACTTTGAACCTTTTTCAATCTGGCTTCCAGCCTCATTACACAACTGTAACTGCCCTCACCAACATCATGAATGAGCTCTTAATTGTCCGATCTGAAGGTCTTTTCTCACTTCTTATTTTTCTTGACCTCTCTGAAACATTTGACACCACTGACCATCCTTTCTGAGTTTTTATGACACTCATCTTACTTGGTTCTCCTCCTCCAAGTATGATTTTTCCTTTTCAGTCTCTTTTCGGCATCATCATTCATATCCTGACCCCTAACTGTGGGTGTATCTCCAGACTGGTCCTAGTCTCTCCTCTCTCTCTGTCTCTGTTTGTCTCCCTCCCCCCTCCCCCGCCCCCACTGTGGGTTTAATTATGATTTCTATACCAATAATTTCCAGATCTATATTTTCGGTATGATGTAGTGGTTTGGGAGCTTCTCCTACTCATGAAATCATAGGTCTAGCCCCTAATAGTGCTGTAAGGGACTGGATTTGAAGTCAAATCTCATCTCAGATCCTTACTAGCTGTGTGACCCTTTCCAAGTCTTTAACCTCTCTGTGCCTTTTTTTCCTCATCTATAAAATGCTTCCAGTTCTAAATGTACCATCCTGACCTCAGTTAAGTACTGCATCATCAGCTTGTTACTGGACTTTTTTTCTTTTCTTTTTTGTTTTTTGGTGAGGCAATTGGAGTTAAGTGACTTGCCCAGGCTCACATAGCTAGTGAGTGTTGTCTGAGGCCGGATTTGAACTCAGGTCCTCCTGATTCTAAGGCTGGACCTCCATCCACTGCACCACCTAGCTGCCCCCAGTTACTGGACATTTCAAATTGGATGTCCTTTGAACCTGACATTTCTAAAACTGAACTCTTTCCCTCCAAACCCATCCTCTTCTAAACTTTGCCGTTTCTGTTTAGGGCACCACCATCTTTCCAGTCACTGAAGTTTGCAACCTTTGTGTCATCTTGAACTTATCACTCTCTCTCACCCCTTGTGATCAGTCAGTTGCCAGATCTTATTTCTACCTCCATAACACTTCTGACATCTTTCCCCTCCTCCCTGCTCACACAGCCGCCTCCTTCCCATAGCCTCTCATCACTTCTTACCTAGACTAATATAGGGGCAGCTAGGTGGTGCAGTGGATAGAGCACCGGCCCTGAAGTCAGGAGACCTAAATTCAGATCCAGCCTCAAACCAAACACTTGACACTTACTAGCTGTGTGACCCTGGGCAAGCCACTTAACCCCAACTGCCTAATCAAAAAAAAAACCAAAACAAAAAAACTAGACTAAGGTAATAGCTTTTGAATTGGTCTCTCTGACTCAAATCTATTCCTAATCTAATCTATTCTCTACAGAATTACCAAAGTGACTTTCCTAAATTCAGGCCTGAATATATCACCCCCCTTACTCAACAAACTCCATTGGCTCCCTAGTACCTCTAGGAGCAAATGTAAATGTGTTTGATTGGCATTTAAAGTCCTTCACAATCTGGCTCCAAATTGTCTTTTCAACCTTTATCACATGTTACTCCTTGCTATAAACACTATGGTCCAGGCAAGCTGAAGCTCTTACATGATGACCCATCTATCACCTCTGTACCTTTGCAATGGTTATTCTCTCTCCTCATATCTGTTCCTCAAAATCCCTAATTTTCTTCAAGTTTCAACTGAAATGCTACCTTCTCTATGAAATTTTTCCTCTTGCCCCAGCTGCTAGTGCCTTTCCCTCTTATATGTATCTATCCAGGTACATGCTATCTCCTTCATCTAGACTGTAAGCTTCTAGACAACAGGGACCATTCACACTTTTGTCTTTGTCCCCCTGCAGCCCAGCACAGTGCTTGGCTTACAGTAAGTGCTTAATAAATGCTTGCTATTTCTCTCTTTTCACTACACCATGCTGTCTCAGTTTCTCACTAGACCTTAACTTCCTCATCCATAGAATGATGGGGTCAGAACTGATGATCTCAGGGCAGCCAGTGGATAGAGCACCACTGAAGTCAGGAGGACCTGAATTCAAGTGTGACCTCAGACCAAACATTTGACACTCATTAGCTGTGTGACTCTGGGCAAGTCACTTAACCCCAATTACCTTAAAAAAACAAAACTGATGATCTCTTAGGATTCCTATAGCCTATAGAACATCCCAACAGAAGAATGGGTTGTTCATGAAGTAATAAGCTCTCCATCACTGGAGGTCTTCAAGCAAAAGCTGAACCACTTTCCAGGGATGTTGGAGAAGGGTGCTGATGCTTCTGATATACAAGTAGACTAAGTGACCCCTGAGGTCCCTTTCACTCCAGAATTCTGTGATTTTTCCAGCTCTGAAGTTCTATGACCATCAAAAGTCCTGTAACCATCAAAGGTAGCCTGGAAATGGAAAAGAAATAATAAAAGGAAAATGATGGGGCATGTAAAAAGGGAGTGGATAGAGCAATCTCACGCTTTGATGGGGATTTTTCTTTTGGAGGAGGTACTGGGAATAAGAGCTTCTGATGCTGCTCCTCTTCCCCTTCAGGTGAAAGTGATTCTTCCCTTCTCAAATTTCTCATAGCTCTGTCTGGCTGTCTTTGCTCCTCCTATCACTTTATGACTTGTATTATACTTATTTGTATGTACATGGCATCCTCTCCTGTTAGACTGTAAGTTCCTTGAGGGCAGGACTGTGTCATTTTTTCAGCTTTGTATGTCCACCATTTAGCACATAACAGGCACCTCATATAGCTTTGGGACACCTGTTTAGGACCAATTGGGAAAGCTACTTCCCTCACCCCCCCCACTCCCCCCCCCCCCCCTCGCCACATTCCTCAGTCACTTCAAATCGCCTCCTAGAAGGTAAAAATGTACAGACTGGCCTTGAGGACATGAAATGGTTCCTACTTTTTGGGAACCTATAAACAATATTCCCCAAAACAATCTGTATTAAAATCTCCAGGAAAAGATGTTGATGTGGTTACAGTCCCTATCATTATCTTCAGGTTTAATCTCTTTCTGTGTCTTTGTCCTCTGTCTCTCTCCTCCCTCTGTTTCTCTCTGCCTATCTCTCTCTCTCAATGCAATCTAAGCCTCTCCTCTATCTCCTGGTCCTTCACATCTATGGCCATAGAGACACAGATCTCTCTATCCTCTTCCCCTTCCTTTCCTGCCCCTATACACTGAGCTTGACCTTCAAAGCCCTCCAGCTAGGGAACCTAGGTCTGCATTCCTCCTTTATATTGTCTCCCTGGAGGCTGTGCCTACAATAGGTCCTTTCCTCACCAAGACTGGAATCCTATTTTGAATCTCACCCACCTATATCTCACTTTAATGACTGCTTCAGTCCAGCTAACCTAATCTAGGGGACACTGCCCTTCCTCTTCCTCACCCCAGCTCCACCTATCCTTAGGTGTTGAAGGACTGGAGAGGAGGGGACTCTGAGTCTAAGCCTGCCTGCCTCCTCTGACAGGAGTTCCCCAGGGTAGAGGGGGCTTTGGGCATTGGAGAGCTATTAATGAAGCTGCTGCCAATTAACGCCTGGGCAGGGGATAGAGGCAGATAAAATTAGCTATAGCTACAGAAGGAGGAGAAGTCTGGGGTTGGGGACTGGCAGTTGTGGGCAGTGTCCAGGAGACTCATGGTGGGAGTGTGGGGCGTGTAGTCAGTATATACAAGATACCTGCAGCATTTGCATATCCTCACATCTTCCCACCTCCAAGCTTGGGGGGCCTATGTCTCTTCCCCATCTCCTCCATATCCCCCTTTCCCCCAGGCTTCTTCCCTCCTTTCTCCCACCCCCGCCGGTCTGCAAACTCAGCGCCTATGAAATTAAGGAAGTAAAAGTAAGATCGATGGTTCCAGATGCCACAAACACTGTTAGCCCCTCCCTTCCCACTCTGCCCCGGCTTGTATGTTTAGCTTAGTTGGGACCGAGCCTACTGGCTTGTCACCCAGACCCTCATTCTGCCTTCTAGACACCAGTCCCTTTTTTCCTCCTGTTCCCATTTGGCCCACCCCCCACCTAGTCTCACTAATATCTATGTCCCCTCTCAGGTCTAACCTCCCTTTTCCCTACTTTAGTCAATGTGTCCCTTCTGCAGTGCGCCCTCTAGGGAACTGTGTATTTCACTGATCTTAGAGACATCCTTCAGTGTTTTTCAGGCAGCATTTTCAGCTTTCTCTCTTTTCAGGGCTAGGTTTCCCTCCCCTCTCGAAGCTAGCTGCTTTCATTCTCTTCCTCTTCTCTGTTATGACTTCCACCCCCACTTCAGTTTCCTCACTTATTCCCAGAGTGGGGAAGGAAGTAGCCAAGGTGATCCTCATGGTACCACCTTTCTCCCCAACTCCAGCCACCTCTGTAAAGGGCTCACACAGATTCATATTGGATTTGACTTTATTTTCTTCCCTTTTCATCTGACTGGGGGGGGCATAGAAAAATAAGAAGCAGCAGGAGGGAGAGGCAAGATAGGGCTGGACACCCCTGCCCATTAAGGAAGGTCAGCAGGGGGCAGAGTAGGACCCCGGGCCTAGCAGCTCCCCTATCCTTCCAGCTCTAATTTTTCTCCTGCCCCAGCTGGGGTCTTGGGTGGTCACAGAGAGGGGAATGGATATAATAAGGGATTGGGCAGAATAAAGGTGGGGGCTAGACATTACAAGGGTAGGCCAGGTATTATAGGTGGCCAGGTAATACTAGAAGAGAACTGGAGTATAAACATCTTGGGGTGGAGGGCTGGAATTACAGGGAGCTAGGTCAGAAGTTGTTGGGGGAGAGGTTGTTGACCAAAGTGGGTGCTTTGGAGGCTTTAAAGCCTAGGGCAGAGGGAATAGAAACCCTCATTGAACTACCACCCCTTTTCTTCTCCCCTCCCCCTTGGGAATTTGAAGGTAGTTAGGAAGAGGGGCTCAGGGACTTCTGGGAAGGGAGATGGACTGGGAGAGGACAGAGCCAAGGTAGGGTTCCTGGAATGCTGGGCAGCAACACTTTTCCAAGGTGGAAGGGAAAAATTTTAAGAGGGTGAAGAAAAGGAGAGGTAATATATAGGGAAGGAGAGATGGGAGAGGACAGTAGTGTCCTTCACATGGGACTCCCCATTGCCCTTCTCCCAAAATGAAAACCCCCCTTCCCTCATCCTTGCCCAGATTGCACCCAGGCCTCCCTGTCTCTGCTCTGCTGTTGTCCTCATCTGATGAGATCCCGGGGCAGAGGAAATGTGGTATTATGGGAGATATTTGGGATAAGGGGCTGACACCCTCATTTATGGGAGGATTAGGTTTGAAGGAAGCGAAAGGCAGTAGATGGGGAATAGAGGGAATCATTATCCGAAGTAGGGGTGCTCGCTCTGGAAGTTGTAGTCCGGACACACCTTCTGCACCAGTTTGTAGTCAAAGCTGAGGAAGGAGACGAAGATGCAGATGACTTTGAAGGGCTTGGCGCAGAGCCACGCGGCCTGGCTCTGAGTGTGCTCTGTGAAACACACCTGCGACGGGTCGTACAGACAAGGGCGGTGCTTCCGAGCTCGATTTGTCTTCTCATACTCCACGTGGCAATTGAAGGCCCGAGACTCTTTGGCCCCGGGGACCCCCAGTGCTCCTCCAAGGGGACCTGCGAGCGCGCCCCCTAGGGCACCTCCCAGAGTTCCCCCCGAAGCCATCCCTAGTGATCCCCCCGAAGGCACCCCCAGGGGAGAACCTAGCCCAGGTAGGGCGGCTCCCTCCAGGGCCAGAGTGGATTGTAGAGGGTGAGGCGACGGCCCAGTAAGCAGAACACCCCCAAACTCTACAAGCTTTGACGGAGGCACTATACTGACGCTTAGGTTGCCCAGGCTGGAGGAATTGTGCCGGAAGTAAACGCTGAAAGTGCCGTTGACGTGGTCCACGATCTTGCCAGTCACCAGCAGAGAGAACTTAAGGGTATGCACCCGGAAATAGAAGTCCCCCCAGCCGAAGATCTTCTTCGCCCTGGCTGCTTTGACCGAAGGCTTCCTCTTAGTGCGTTGTACTGGGGGTGCTAAGCCGGCCCCAGCCCCTCCAGGTCCCCCAGCCCCAGCCCCAGCCCCAGCTTCGGTGTAGTTAGTTGGCCAGGCCCAGTTCCAGGTGTCGGCTGCGCCATAGCCTTCAGAGGAACGCGGGGCAGGAAAAAGGCGGCCTGGGGAGCTCGCTCCAGCCCCAGCAGGGCGCAGCTCCAGGTAACGCGGGGTCCGGGACACCGGGAGTTGTGCACTGGACGCCTGAGGAGTGGGAGGGGCCAGAGAGAGGAGAGAGAGAGAGAGAGAGAAAGAAGGGAGGAGGTGTTGGGAAGGTAACCAGGACCTTTTACCCTGGCTCATGCACCCTTCTTCCCAGGTGAGCCCCTTCTCTTTCTGTGAACCGTCGGGGGAAAGAGCCAAACACAGCATATCTTCCATGTGTCTCACGGCTCTGATTCCTTTTCCTTTGAACTCTGTCTACAGTCTTTCTGCCTCTCCTAAGCCATCCCCAGGCTCCCCCTCTATTCCTGGACCAATTGTCCTCTTCACTCTCCTTCCCTTTCTGGAGGAGAGAAGAGGATGCCAGGTTCTGGGTTTGTGGGGAGAAAGTTAAACAGGGCAGGAAGGACAGGAAGGTAGGGGGAAGCGAGGCCAGCCGCTTAGCACGGTCAGCTCCATCTGTGGCCCCCGTGTCTGCTCATTAATCAGGGTGGGGGGGGCAGCAATCTATCAAAATCTGTAGGTAGTCTCTGGGGACGGGGGCGGGAAACTGCGACTCAGCAACTCAGGGCCGGGCCAGATGGGGCTGAGCCAATGCCGACCCCGGCGGGGGGTGGAAGCAGTATAGAAGAGGCCGGCATGCAGTCGGCTCTTCCCCAGCTACTTTCGCTGTCTCAATGCCCTCTCTAACTGCCTGCTGTACTTTCTCTCCCCGTCAGAGGAGGGCGCTGCGGAGCCGGAGATAGAAGCTGGCTGCAGGTAGTGCTCTGAAAGTTCCCCTGGGAAGGAGGTTGTGGCCGAGCAGTCTTAGACTGCGAGGACTGAACCCCTACTCCAGTTGTGCCCCAAATAAGACCGCCACAGCCAGCTCCTGTTGGAGCGGGCAGGTGTGGGGAGGCTCACGCCCCAAGGAGCTTTCAGGGAAGCAGGAGTGGGGGCAGGTGTGAGGGTCCTGCTCCTGTCCCCCTTCCGCGGCCGCTACCTAGCTGGTGCCTCCGCCTCCCTCTCCCCTCCTGCCTGTCTATGCGTGTCTCAGGTGGCGGCCGATCCGGTGAGACAGCGCTGGCGCGAGTACAAGATGGATCGAGAGGCGGGAGCGGCCGGGCCAGGCCTGGGCCATCAATTATCCGGGGGCGGAGGCGGGGGGGGGGCGGGAGAAGAGGGTGCAGGGAATGAAGGAGAAGAGGAGAGAGCGAGAGTGAAGAAATATGGAGATGCTGGGAAGCTGGAGGAGCGGGAGGAAAGGAACTGTGTGTGCATGTGTGTGTGTCTGAGTGTGCGTGTCTACACTGGGTAATGGTGAGAATCCAACAGTGTGTACTTCTCCATGTGTGAGGCACTAAGGGGCGTGAGTGCACACACTCGAAGGGTGTGTATACACCGTGCATGTGTACCTGGTGTATACATTGTCCTTGTGCACTCAAGGTATTCCGGGAGTGTGTACACACCGTGTGTGAATTTGCTGTGTGTTTGTACACGTTGTGTGTGTATACATTGTGTATACACCAGCGCGGGCCCGGAGGCCCCAGGAGCCTTAGTGTGGGGGGTGGGGAGCCACAGATGAGTCGGAATCTCCGTCTAGCCGCCGCCGCCGCCTCAGTCCCCGCAGCGCTGCGATCCTGGGTTATTAATGCCGCCGCCTGCTCATCATACATATTTATCTCCCCCCCTCCCATCCCCCAACCCTGCCCAGGTGAGGGGGGCGAGGGACGATGAAAGCGTAAGAGCAGAGACTGAGCTCTGAGAGGGGAACAAAAAAGAGGGAAAGTCAAGGCGAACCCCTTGGGCTGAGGTGGGGAGCAGAGAACCCAGCCTCTTGAACTGAGGGTAGGAGAGAGGGAAGATGGGGGAACTAAGACTCTCGGACTGGAGGTGTATGATTGGGAGAGCCTGTGAGCCCTTTGGTCTACGAGATAAGGTTGGGGGAGATGAGGTCCTTGAACCGAGAAAGTAGGGGTGAGTGAACGAGGGATTGTTGAGCCCTTTGGGCTGGGAAAGAGAAGCGGCAAGAAAGCGCTAGCCCCGTGCCCATGCCTTTGCCCTGCAGAGAAGAACCAAGCGTCCCTTCACCCCCACTCCCCTGCTGCCCACACAGTAGATGAAAAAAAAAATCCAGGCTGCAGGAGGTGCAGTGACAGAAGATTCCTGCCTCGGGTCGGACTGGTTCTCTTTTATAGGATGATCCAAGCTACATTTCTTTCCCTTACTCACTCCTAGCCCTTCCCAGTTTCCCTCCCCCCTGACCCTTGCCTCTTTCAAGTTTCCAGGCATACCATGCTACCCACCCCCAGTCCGAGTCTTAGTTCCTTTCTGGTGCTGGCCTAAAGTCTTCCCTTCCCTGGCTGGGAAGAAGCCCAGCTAGGAAGGAACCCAGGCAGGTTTCTGCCAATTCCCCAGAGACCAGTTGAGCTGAAAAAGGGGAGGGACTGGGAACTTGGGGGTCCTGAGGCAGCTGCGAGGGGGTGGCTGAAAGTCTCTTGTCCATCCTTCCTTCCCCACCCCGGGTGTCTGATCCCAGACAAATTGCTGTCTCGCCTTCTCTGATCCCTGCAAATCCCGTGGCTTTGGTCACCCCCCCCATTCACTGCAGGAGTCTGGAAGAGATGAAAGTGTGCATATGTGTGTTGATGTGTGTGTGTGTATGTATGTGTGCGCGTGTGCTCTGACCGACCTTGGATGGAGGGGAGAGGTAGTGACCTGGGCGGAGGAAGGAATATATCTATGGGGAAAGGGAACTGAGAAATGGGAACAAGAGAGAAAACAATGAAATAACATCTTTTTCTTCTTGGTCTTTAAGTCCCTTTCTCTACTTCTCCCTCCCCCACACACTTTTATCTCTGAACCCCTGGGTCAGAGTCTCTGTCTCTATTTCTCTCCGACTTCGTCTGTCCCCGTTCACCACCCCTCTCTCGACACTGTTGTCACCTCTTTTTTTTGTTGTTGTTTCTGTCTCTGATTCTTTCAGTGTGTCTCTGTCTCGCCTTATAATGATGTCTTTGCTTGTTCTTAGAGAGGGGTTGGGGGAGACACAGGTTGATCCAAGGAGACAGAACAAGGTATTCCTGGATCCCAGACGCTTCTGGTGATTCCTCTGGGCCTACTCAGCTTTCTAATGAGGGCTCCCTTCTCAGGGCGAAATGGGGATGGGGCAGTTTGTTCAGAAGTGTGTAAGTGGGAGACTGGAGGAGGGGGCGAACATTCGCCGAGGCTTCGGTTTAATTAAGCTAATTGGGCGCGGTGACATTTGCAGAGGGGAGAGGCGAGCGTGGTTGACAGCGCGGGGTGGGGTGGGTTGGGGGAGGAGAAAGGGAAAGGGAAGAGAAGCTTGTCTTTACTAGAGTCTCTCAGCCTTGGGCCGGAGGGGGCGGGGACGGGAGCTGAAGCTGTATTTTGAATGTAGGGAGAGAGCGGGGATCTTCATTTCACCTCTTTCGGCCTCGGAGTGTGAAGCGTTAGGAAGGCGTATTGATAGGAAAGTAGAGGGATGAGGAAGCACGGGATATTAGAGAAGCTTGAGGGGACCCAGGGCATTGGAGAGAGGGGACCCCCCTCCACTACAAAAAGAGCGTGAAGAGAATGCGGAGAACGTTGGGAGCATGGGGGAAGAACTCTGATTTTGCTGTCCATCCGAGTCAAAGGGGCAGGTGGGTGGGTTCTGGGGTCCGTTTTCTAGCTACTGCCTACTGCCTACTGTTCTTTGTAAATGGGTACACAGCTGGTCAAGGGGCAAAATCTGGAATGGGAAAAGAAGTAGGCTTATTTGGGAAAAAGTGATAGTAGGAATGAGGGCCTTTGGAGAACTCAGTGCCCCCCCAGCCGCATTGCAGGGATCCCCCCCCTTCTGCCCCCACCTTGTCCCCAGGCGAGATCAGCTGAGAGGCTCTGGGACAGTAGCCATCCCACAGTTGGTCTCTCTGGTATCTGAGGGCAGTGGTTTAGGGACCAGGGTTGGCCTCACCTCAGCCAGGAGGAAGGAGGCTGAAGCTATGAGCACGTACACACCGTTCTCCATCCTCTAGGGCCCTGCTAAGACAGGACAATCGGGACAACTGGTGTCAGTGTCAGTGTTACGTGCTATTGGAGGTGGGGGTGTCCTGAAGGAAGTCTCATTCTAGTCACACGGGGTAGGCCAGGAGGGTTAGGTGGGCTGTCCCCAGGGCTGCAGAAGGAAAGAGGGGGCCACAAATTACTGTGCGGGTGGAGGGGAAAATAGGGTCCGACCTCAGCGCCTCTACTTTTGCCAGAAGCTCCAGAGGAGAAAGCTCTCTTACTCGTTTCCCGGTGGGCTCTCCCCACCTACGGCGCCCAGCCACCCTATATCCCCATACACTGGGCGACCTCTCTCCTTAGCCTCCAGAACCGAGCTGCGATCGGAGGTGGACGGTGAAGGTGGTCACTGATGGCTAATCCATTACCCCATCCTGCAAGCCGGGGTAGAAGGCGTAGGGTTGTAAAGCATTTCAGAGGTCATGACTCTTGCCTCCTTGTGACCTTGGGAGAGGCCTGAGGTGGGGGAGCAAGAAGGGCACAGGGCTGCAGAGCTGAAAGGTCCTCTCTCCGCGTCTACCCCTTTTCCCCTTCCCCCCAACCCGTCTCCCGGGCCGCAGCGCAGGGCTCACTGCTATCTGAATTTTGATTTTATTTTATATTTTATTTCCTTGCTTCCCGGAGCGGGTGCCCCCCGGGAGCGGTCCGCCCCCCCGCCCCCACCCCCCAACCCGCGCCTCACTTTATTATTGCAATAAATGTGTCTATAAAGGCGCCGGCTCCGGGGCGAGGGGCTGAGGGGGGGGCGGGGGGCAGGGATGTAATTTCCCGAAGCAGGAACCGGAGGCCGGCGAGGCGGGGTGGGGGTTGGGGGAGGTAGGTGTTGTGGGGAGGGAGAAGGGAGGGCACTGGAGAGGGGAGAAAAGACTCATCAGTTTCCACAGCCCTTGATTACACTCTCCCCCACAACCAAACCCTCTTAACACGCTCCATTCCTTGCTACCACCCTCTGATCCCCGTTATCCCGCTCTTTTCCCTCGCTTTCTCTTCCGTTATCGGGCTCTTCTGCCAGTTATTCCTTTCTGCCCCCTTTATATCTAGCTTTATCTCTCTGCCCCCTCTATTCCGATGTCCCTCATCATTGCTATTTGTTATTCAGCTCTCTCCCGACTCCCTCACCTCTTTATTTTAGTTCTCTTCCTTCCCTTCCCGGTTATAAGACGCGATGTTTTCCCCTAAGAAGCTCTGGTCGCAGGACGACTACTGAACCTAGCCGCTGCCCATCTCGATTCCCTCCCCGCAGACCTGGCCCCAGCTGCGGCCCCAGATTACCCCAAATCCCTGTGCGCTGCTCCCTTCCCGAGGCCGGGCTACGCGTGTCTAAGTGGCCAAGCCAGAGATTAGTAGAGGACCGGGAGGGGTGGAAGAAAGCGGGAAGCCGGGCCACTGGGGTGGGAGTGGGGGGCGGTGCCCAGGGAGTAGCGGGACATATCTCCTTGAGGCCTGGACTCCTGGGTTCTGCCCAAATGCACCTTCTTCCCACTTCTATCACACTCTCTACTCCCAATGCTGGGGAGTCCCAGAAAGCCTCTGACTCCTTCGCGCCAGAAGCTAATTAGTAATTAGTGATTAGTGATTAGTTAGTATTGATCCTGCCCCGCCCCATTTCCTTGCGGGTGGGCTTGTTCCTGAGGCGGCTTCATTTGCACAGGGAGGGAAACAGAGATGTTCAGAGACTGAGAGAGAGACACACACAGAGATAGAAAAAGGCAGAAAAAAATAACCTAGGCAGAGATACCAAATATATTTAGAGAAATAGAAAGCGAGAGAGTAAGGAAAACAAACAGATTTTGAGAGAGATAGAAGGGGGAGGAGGAAACCATGAGAGACAGTAACTGCAAAGATAGGTGGTTAGAGAAATGGATAGCAGAAAGAGAAAGATGGATAAGGAGAAATAGAGAGATAAGAGAGAGATAAGAGAGAAATAAAGGAGGGGTGTGAGATGGATGGAAGAAAAGAAAGCTGGGTTAGAGACAGGAGATAAGGGGGAGAGGAGAATAAAGAAAAGAACTGTAAAGATAAGGGGAAAGGTTGGGGTTTAATAGGCCAAGGGAGGCAGATTGATAGGGTGGTTTTGTGGGTGTTGAGGGGGTGAATACTCCCCAGACAGTTCATTCCTGTTTTCCTGGCATATGATTATGCTTCAGCACCCCCCCCCAAAAAAAAAAACAACCCAAGGGCATTTAGGCATGGATACACACTGACACATATCTGGCAACTACTCAGACTCTCTCATATACTCTAAACACAAGCTAGCTCACACCACAGACCCATACTCAGACATAGGTACCCCCTCACACCCACACAAATACAGATACACTTACAGACATAGATGCACTGAGATACACAGGTATATATGGAGATAAACATACTTGGACACAGATACACACACATCTTCAGATATGTAGGTACATACATTCAGATGTTGGGTACACACAGATTCACCATGCTCAGTGCACACACAATCATTTTCACTCTCACTCTCCCCAAGTCTGTGCCAGATGTTTCATTTCCCTTTGGGGGGAAGGAAATTAAACCAGCTTGGTCAGCTGGGGGAGTTTGGTTAAGGGAAAAAAGAGTTGGGGTGGGGGCAGAAAAGGGGTGGAGGGCTGATCAGCTTCTGGGACCAGGGAATCCAGACCTCTAGTTAGGAGTCCCCATCACTCCCTGTTGAACCTAAGTTCCAGCCAGGTGGGCTCATTTGTCAGAGGTATGAACCCCCAAATCTGTTGATCCTTGTGGTTTTAGTGGGGGCCCAGGCAACGCAAAAGCCATTCCCTGCTTCTCTGAACCTGGGGGTTGAACCTGGCAAGATTAAGCCTGAGGATGGTGGTGGGGGTAGTCTCCCACTGCCTCTGTGCTCTATTTAGTTGCCCCTTTTCCTCCTGGAATCTGTGATTGGGGTAGGGGAAAGAGAAAAAGGGGATAACTGAGGCAGCATTAGAAATTTAACTCACCCCCTAGTCACCTTTCAGCCTCTTCCCCCCCAAGGTCAAACAGAGAGTCTGAAGAGGAGCCAGAAATATGAATGCCTGGGGTTTTGGATACTTATCAGACCTAGCCCCTGGCTCTGGGTTGGCTGAAAGGGTGGCTACTAGGATGAGAGGGGTCACAAGAATTGGAGGTGATGAGCTCCCCTCACCCCCATGACCTGTCCATACTCTGCTCCCAATAGGTTAAACACCCAGAGAAAAATTCCAGTCTTCCCCAAGGAACGTTCCTCCCTTTATCTTCCTTGCCTCTTCCTAACATGAGGCCATCAACAGCTGTGTGGAGGGCTGAAGCTGATAGAAGGGAAGTACCAAACAGGGGCAAGGTGGTTGGGGGGGGGGCTGCAGCTCCACTCCCACTCCAACCCTAACCCTGTGGCGGGCAGGTCAGAGAGGATTCAGAATCTTCCTAAAATAACCAGCTGTACACACACATATATGTATTTACACACAGGCATACACAGATACATAAACATTTGTACAGAAATACACAAATGTACACACTTATGTACCAGGAATCATGTACAAACACACACATTCACACACAAATGCACACATACATTTACACACTGCATTGACAGGCCCTGGGGACTTAGAAATATTTCTGTTCACAGACACACACAAGTGCCCTAGCACACAAATGCACTTTTAGACACGCTCCACACCAGGACATATGCTCACACGTGTGCTCACACTCAGGGGCTAAGGGCTTCATCAGGAAGGTGGAGGGTACAGCTGTCAGGATTCTGTAATTGAATGGCAGGGTACATGTTGCCGCCCCCCCCCCCCAAGGCAGGGAAATGGAATGGGAATCTCTTCAGTCAACCTGTGAGGTTGTGTGCCAGTGTAAAATTGTGTGTGAGCTTGTAAGCTTATGACACTGTGTGTATATGACATTGTGTATGTGTTAAGAGTGTATGTGTATATAGATAAGGGTATATATACACAGTAATACAACACATAAATATGCAGGAAAGAGGATTGGAGAAATGGACAAGGCGAGACACAGAGAGACCGAAGGGAGAGGGAGAGCGACAGAAAGGATACTCAGAGACAGGGAGAGATTGACACTGTCTCTGTCTCACTCACCGTTGTCTCTCACACATTCGAGTTGTGTCTCTGACACGCTCCCTTCGCCCTTTTCTGGAGAAGCTCTTGGGGCCTGACCCTTTTCCCTTGCCCCCGCCTACACAAACTTGTTCTGTAGAAAGCGCGGGTCCAGGGGTACTGGGGTCTTTTTGTCAGCCCGCCACCCACATTACCCCACTCCCCTAGGCTTCCAGATGCCGCTCAAAGTTAGATCCCGCCAGGATGGGGGATGGGGGTAAAGGGGACCGGTGCGGCGCAGAGGAATCTCCCCTCGCCCCTACCAGTTCTAACCCATGGACCCAGGAGTCCGAGACAACCCCCTGACGCTTAGCATTTCCCAGGGCTCTGGAGGCCCAGACTCCTGGGTCCCCAGCCCTTTCCCCCGCCCCCTCCTCCCAGAGCCCCGCCCCCCCTACCTTCCGCAGGAACCAGGGACTGAGGAGCAGGGCCAGCCATCCAGGGAACAGCCGCATCTTCCCGGGGCTCAGGGGTGGGGAGCAAGGGTTGGGGAGGGGTAGGCAGGCACCACAGGGGGATAGTCCCCAGCTGTGGGCGCCAGGGACTAGGGGAGAAGGAAGACAGGGAAGGAAAGGAAAAGAGGAGAGGAGCTGAGCGATGGACCTGGGGAACTGAGCGCAGGAGAGAGGAGGAAAGAGATTGGGGGGAGAACGGGGGGGTGGAGAGGGCGGGGGGAGAAAGTTCAGTCTGGCACCCGGGCGGAGGGGGGGCGGGACTCTGGGTCCCACCAATCCCGGGCCGCGCCCTCCACACCCCACCTCCCCCTCCCCGCGTTCTGCGGGGAGGGGGGGTGACGAGAGAAGGTGACTTTCACCCCTCCTCTGTCTGGAAGCCACGCCCCAAGGCCACTCGTGAGGACCACGCCCCCTCCCAATAGGACCACGCCCCCCTGTCTCGGGCCCTAGCTGCTAGGGTAGGAGCTGTCGAGCCCCTTAATACTTCCTTTCCTTGAAGGGTGCCTAGATGCTAGAGAGTTGGGGTTATGGGACTCTAATTTTGAGGACACTGAAACAGTAGGCTTGAAGAAGGAAAGGGGATTTTCGTGCTTGGGAAGGGGGAGTTGTGTCTCATTGTGGGGGAGGCAGAAGGCCTTGGGAAATCATAGAAGACGGGCATTCAGGGCTCAGATCAGGTACCCTAGATGAGCTGGGGGCATGGAGCCGGGATGTGGTTGTCGTTCAAGGGGTGATTAAGAGAGCTTTATGAGGGAGAGGGGACCAGGACTGAGGTTGACCAGCTACAAGATGGGCAGCGTGAAGTGATTGGAAGTATATCTTCAGAGAGCCTGGAGCTGAACTGGGGCCACAGGAGTAGAAGAGGAGGGCTAGGGTGGGGGCTAGCGCAAGGAGTCAGGACTTGAGAAGAGGCACTGGGAGATGAGGATGGGCAAAGCCTTTTAAAGGTGTGTGGGGAGGTAGTGGAGCTGAGACTGAGAAGGAAGGTTGGAGTGGTGTAGACTGGAGGACAAGGAGGGGGAAGGGAGAGGTCTGGAGGAGGAGGAGGAAAGGCCTAGCCCTCGGGGGCAGAACTGGGGGGGGGGGTTGGCCCTGCCCGAGCCGTTTGTCAGTCCTATTGACAAAGGAGACGGGGTTTCCTCCCGTGATCAATGATTCTCATCTCCTGGCCGAATGAGCCACCGGGCCCTCATCCATCCCCGTCAGCGCCACAGCCGCCACAGCCGCCGCTGCCGCCTGAGGCCCCCCTCCCACCAGCCCGGGGCTGGTACGAGAGCTGTCCCATGGCTTCCCCCAACGCAGGCCCTTCTCTGCCTCTTGATTCCTTCCCTTTCCAAGATGCCCAGTCCCAGCGTTGCAGGACCCGACTGCACAATTGACTCTCTGATTCCTGATTCCACTCCACGCAGACCTCTAGAGCCCCAAATTCCTAATCCATGACCCCCAGACCCACTCCAGTTCTCTCAAAGTCAGTTAGCTTCCTGCACCCCGGCCTTCTGACCAAAGCAAGAGGCCCCCAGGCCCTAGGGCTGTCCCCCATACCCGATCACCCTAATTGTTTGGGAAAGCCTCCTTCAAGCTTAACCCCCACCTTCCTTAGTGCGTCTCAACCTATCCTCCACTTCCTTCTGCTTATCAAGCGTCTGACTCTGTCCCTGTCTGTATCTCTGCCCCCGGCTGTCTCCCCCTCCCCCGACCCAGTCTTTCTCTTCTCTGCCCGCGGTGTCGCCAGCTGTCAGCTGTTGCTACGCACTGAGGCTGAGGTATGACCGAGACCGAGACAGCGACAGACAGAGACAAACAGAGAGAAGCGTAGACAAGAGACGGACACCAGAAACCAAGAGAATCACAGAGCCTAAGCAGACACCTATGGTGTCTGTCTGCTATAGGTAGGCAGGCAGAGAAAAAAAAAACCAAACCAAAAACCAAAAAAACAGAAAAACACAGACTGGGGAGAAAGAGAGAGACAAGAAGGGGGACTGTGAATACACAGGTCTGCACCTGTGCTGGAGGGTGCGGCTTAAGTCGGGTTGTTCGGGCTGACCCGAGACCCTAGGTCACACGAGGCGTCTGGTTCACAGACCTGGGTATCCAGGCTACTGCCCCCGAGGGTTTGCAGGGACGCAGTAAGGCTCCAGGTGGCCGCTAGGGGCAGTCTCTAGAGGATGAAAGTCATCCCATCAATTCCCCTGCCTTCACACCACCCACCCACCCGGAAAAGGCTCCAATGTCTCTGAAATTGCTTTCTCCAGGGAAACCCGGGTTCCTGAAGCTTTCCTCCAGTCCAGAGCTCTACCCCAGGGTTATCCTCCCTTGCTCAGGCTCCAGTCTTAGTAGTTACTCCTTTTCTCACCTTCTCTCCCTCCTCTTTCTGCCTGTGCCTCTTTCTTGTCCTTCGCCTTCTCTGGCCTGGGTTAGTGAACAGAAGGGATGGCTTTGCTGTCTCGGCTCAGAAATACTTCCTCGGACCCGGACGGAATGTGTGTGTGTGTGTGTGTGTGTCTGTGTGTGTGTGTTTGTGGGTGGGGGAGGAGGGAGCCCCGGATGTTGAAGGTGAGTCAGGGCTGCGCCTAAAGGGGTAGTATGCACAGCCCCTGTCTTTCCCCCTCTTCCCCTCCCCCCTCCCTCCAAATTGCCTGGTAGCTTAGTGTAGCGCGACAGGCAGAGAATCAGGCGGCTCCCTGGGGCCGGGTACCAGGTGTGCGGCTGGCACCATGAGGGCTGGCAAAGGTTCTGGCAGCTGGAAGAGGCTGCCAAGCCAGCCAGCCCCACCCCCTGCAGTTGGGGAATCTGGCCCGGAGGAGCCTTGGGCGCAGTTTGGGTGACCGGCTGGACACAGGGCTGCAGATTCGGGCAGGAGGCAGGGGAAGGCTGAAGATTGCTGGCAGAGAGTGGGGCAAGCAGGGGGAGGGATAATTGAGGGGGTGGAGGTAGGGAAGAAACGGGTAGAAGTTGGGCCAGGGGGCAGAATGGGCTTCAGATGCGGACGGAGTGTGTGTTGTGTAGGAGTGTGAGTGTGTGTTGAGACTAGGGGTCGGGCAGAAGAAAGGGTAGCGTGCGGGGGTGGGGGGCACTGGTCTTTGCATCCTGCTAGATCTTTATGGAGAAAATGCTGACGCCACCTGGCGGCCATCCTGAGGCGCGATTTCCCCCTACTTAGTATATGCGGCGGGGCTGTAGTGGACACTGCGTCCACCTGAGCCTCAGTCTGTGGGTTCTGTATCAACCACGAGGGGGCGTTTCAAGAGCCTTTCTTTGGGAGGTTGGTGGGGGGGTTGGTCAAACGAGAAAAATCTCTCGTTTCTGGAAATACTGCTCTGGTCACCTAGGCAAGAGTCTTGTGTACCGTTTTGGGGCCCGGGAAACAGGTTGGGGGGTGTGGATGGGAGAAAGAGAGGGAAAGTGTAAGGGAGCCGGAGTAGTAGACCACATATCCTTTACTTAAGGAGAAAAATGCAGGACCCTCTGGCTTTGAATGGGCATTCTCGGGAGGGAGGAACCCCATGAAGGGCTCAGTAGGAAGTTAGGGTCTCCACTGGAAATCGGGTTACAACAAGGATACAAAGACAAGCAGTGTCTCAAGTGTAGGAGTCATATCTGTGCCACCTCCTCTGGGGTGGATGGAATCTGGAGCCAGAGTTCCCTTAGTGATTGAGGACATGCTTCCGGGAGGTCAGAAGTCTCCTCTCCAAGTATTTGAATGTTCATCCTAGTGAACAAATACTGGTCTGGGAATCAAGAGATTTGAATTCTAGTCCCATTTTCTATCACTTCCTTTCTCTTGCTCTCATACTCTTCATTTGCAAAAGGATGAAGCTGGATTAGAATGTTCCAAGGGATTCCTTCCAGCTCTCCAAGTGCAATTCTGAAATTATACCTTTGTTTCTGGCAGCTTCTTTCCTTCTCTGTCTAATCCAGTTCAGCCACCACCCTCGGGGAGCCCTCCTTAACTCCCAGAAGTCTATCTTAGGTCCCATTCCCTTGGGGCCTCATTCATGGCTTCTGATGAACAACGACTATATGATCTCCAAGGTGTACAGTGGTGTTCCCCCACCCCAGGCATGAAAATGGCTTATATTTATATAGTACTTTATGAACATGAAATCCTTTACATGCATTGGTTCTTCATAGCAACCTTATGAGGCAGAGAAGTATGAGTTTTTATCCCTATTTTGCTGATAAGAAAATTAAGGCATAGGGAAAATGGCTTGCCCAGAGTCATATAGTACAAGTATGATGTATTTACTTCAAGAGACCCTTGTGAATTTTTTTTAAAGGGGGGGGAACCCTTCACATTCCAAAGGAATTAATTTCTCAAGGTGGGATTTCTCTCTGTGGGGAATATAGTTTTGATCAGGGAGCTCACCTCACCAACAAAATAGATTAAATCTCTTGGTCAGATGGACTTCAGAGGGTTGGTACAATTCAAGATGAAGTAAGTAGACAGTACCTGCTTTCAGTGAGCTTACCTCACAGCAGGAGGGAATACAAAAACCACAAAAAACAATTATTCAAAGGAGAATGTAAGAAGTACATTGTTATCATGGAAGCATAGTGTCAAAGAAAGTGTGCTGGTTCTGGAGAATTGAGGGGATTGAACTTGGTGGTCACCGAGGTCCCTTCCTGCTCTAGAACCTTTCACTTCTAAGCTTTTCCCCCTGTAAAATGGATTTGGACTGGATGATCTCTATGGTTCCTTCCTGGCTCTAAAAACTAACCTAGACCATCTAGTCCCAAGTCCATTTTTCAGATGAGGAAAACTGAGGTCCAGGGAAGTGCTTGCCCATGGTCACACAGATAGCAAGTGGGATATGGTGCTAGCAAGGTTTAGATGAAACATTTGGCAAGATGGGCTCAAGGCTGGACTGGGTAAAATGGATCCTTCCATATACTAGCTTCAGATTAATTCTCCGAAAGCTTTGGACTGACTGTACATTTAGTACTCTTCCTATTATGGCATTCTATCTCAAAGGACAAAAACACAGAGACAGAAGAGCCTAGAATGTGTCTGGGGAGCAGTAATTGGTCCAATTTTGCTGGAGAGTATTGTACATTGGGAGAAGTGGGGGAGGAGGCTTGGAAGGATAGATTTGGGCCATTGATTGGAACACCTTAGATTCGAATCCTGTAGGCTATGGGGAGAAACTGAAACTTTCTGAGTACTGGAGATAGTGCCATGCTTTTGAAGA